ACATTTTTCTTTTCATGTAGTATCAAAGTGAATATAAAAGACTGTATCTCCACACAAAAAAAATATAATTGCTGGATCAATTGAGTTTTATTATATTTAGCTCAAATATGTAAATAACCGAATTATATTAGATTCATTATCGGAGATGAATAGAACTAATATAATTTCTAGTCAAACCAAGAATAATTACGAACATAAAATTTATGAAATTTGAGAGTTAAATTTACAAAATGATGTTACATATTGAATATGACATCGCTAACAGACAAATTAAATGACAATATATAATATGAGAAAATTTGAAAAAATATTTTTTTTGGCTTTTTAAATTTAAAAAATACCTCTTTTTAATAGTTTTAAAAAATACACTTTATTAAAATTACTAAAATATCCCCATAAAATCTGAACAAAATATTATATTTTAAATAAGATTTAATTTGTTGTGATATATATATAGCCTAAAGTTTAGTTGATCATATCTTTTACAGGATTTATCTTATATTTGATATGAGATAATAAAAAATTTTATATAACATTATCTAAAATTACAATTATACAAAAGAAATATTCACTATTAATATGCCATAAAATATTTTTTAAACGACCCACATAGAATTTTTACATAAAATAAAATAAGCCTAAAAAGATATTTAATGAAATGTCTTATTAAAATTATATTTTTTTATTTTGTTTCCAAAACTTGATACTCCTCTTTATATAATAAACGTAGGGTGTTATTTTAAATAGTTTATAATGTAATAAATGTTAATAAACATCTTATATAACAAGAGAATGTTTTTTATATCTAGTAGTAAATTTTAAATTTTAAAACAACAAAAAAAATTTTTCAAATAAAAAAGGTAATATTAATATTAATAATATTTACGAGTTAATTAATTTTTAAATCAATAACACAATTTTATATCAAATAAAAAGAAAAATAATATTAACGATAATTCTATTTACGAATTAATTTTTTTTTTTAAAATAACACAACTTTATCTCAATTAAAAATAGAATTAATAATAATTATTATTATATTTATAAATTAATTTTGTTAAATCAAATTAGGACAAAAGAGACTTTTTCAAATTCTCAAACATAATTGGTGTATTTTTCAAAATATATCATATAATATTCGGCTTGTTTTTACCATTATGCCAAATTTATCACTCATATATCTTTATTGAAATATTTGGTAATAAAATAAAAACTAAACATGGTCCATAATAAATAAATATAGTGGAACTAATAAGATTTGATA